TGCATGCTCAGAATCCTTCCCACGCTTCTTGTCAAGCTTTCCCTCTTAACAAAATGTGATTGGATGTTTGACGGCAACACATTTCTATGAGCCTTATTCATAACCTGCAGAATGTTATAATCAAACAACTCATGAAATTTTAACAACTTTAATTGGTGAAACAATATGTTAGATGGGTGATTGTAATGCTTTCTTGTAATAATTCTTATGGCTCTTTTCTGTAAAATAAAAATAGGATTAGTAATGGTTTTACATGCATTTCCCCAGAATTCTATACAATAAATCAAATGTGGAACAATTATTGCATTATAAAGTATAAATACTCCTTTATCATTAAATAACTCCTGAACTTTATACAGAACTGCTATAGATTTTGCTTCAGTAATTTATATGAGGAATTACAGCAAATCTAAATGAAAAATAAGACGTATTATTCAGAGGATGTGTGGGAGCTGCAGAATAATTCAGTGGTTACGACACAGACAGATGCAGAGGTTATTTTCTGTTATCTGTAGATTTAATGATATATTTTATATGTGAGTATTTGTACTTTATAAAACCCTACAGTACGTGACCACCAAGACAGATAAAACAGACTGAGACCAGCTGGTTTTAATGCTCTGCGTTTATTTTTCAAAGATGAGGAGAGTTTATTCTTTGTTTTTTTAATTCTGCAGGAAGAAACTGGAGCTGAAAGAAGTTTTAGACTCCAGGTGACAGAGACGGTTCGTCTCCTGTTTGCACACCGTCTAACCTCGGCTCTTAAGCAGCACAGGAAGAGAAGAAAAGACATAAAGAGGAAGCTCCGTCGAGTCGTCGGTTCAGGCTCCGAACCATTTCTTCTTCCTGATGCAGACAGACGGCAGCCGAGTGTTACAAAGGTGGTCGTCCCAGCACTTCCTGCCTGGAAAAACAGAAACATGACAGTGTAAAAACCACGGTTCAAACCTTGAATCTGTCTGTCAGAGCTCAGAGCATGAAGGCATCAGCCTGCTGGGACAACAGGACCTACCTGAGTAGTTCATTTGCAGGCAGTGCTGCCTGCCACCATAGCCGTTGTTGGGCTCACCAGGACACCATTTAGTGAAAGTCATGAGGGAACCGTCACTCCACAGCCACACTCCTTCCTACAACCAGSAAAAACACTTCAGTACAGGGTGAGCAGCTTTATGACACTAATCCTGGGGACATTTCCAGCTTGGAGACAAAAAACTAAATGTTTTGAAGATGAAATGAAGGACAGTTACATTTTCATGTATTTTTACATACGTGACTGTAGGGGTCACCTCGAGTGAAGAAACAAGATTTACTGCCTCTAAGCAGGCCTCGGACAGGTCTGACAAGAGGACAGGAACACAAACTGAACTCTATTTAGGCCATGACAGGTCATTCTAACCGTGGAACAGAACTCCTCAGTTCTCTTAATCAGATAATGGACAGAACAATCTCTTCTGTTCGTGATTCATTTGTCGTTTAACTAAGAATGTTTATGCATTTGTTAAATCATGATAATGACTGTCACAGGAAAAGTGGAACCACTTCTACTGTTTTATGGTGCCTTAAAAATTAATATTTGTATAAAAAATCACAGAGAAAATCATTACAATGTTTTCATTGTGTATTCTAGTAAATCACTGTTTTTATTTTACTGTGAACACAGTAATATAATTGTGGATTTTTCCTGAGAAAATCTTTCATTTATTTGGACTAACACAAGGTTCAGAACTGATTATGAAACAGAAATGTTAATTAATCATCATAAATGTTTTGCAGTGATTTCTCTTAGAGTCTATCAGAAGGAAGCTGAAAAGAGTTTATCATATCTTGTTGTTGAACAACCACAGAATTTTAACCTTGGGCTGGCGCCGGCTGGCAAATCTTTATCTTTCTTTCTCTGACTCATCTCTACGCCTGATGGCGGAACCAAAGTTTGTCCGTTTCTTTTACTAACCTGGACGGCTTTGAGCGACACACTGTTCTTCCTGATTCCAACCGAGGAAGACAGCGGGGATTCTCTCCGGAGAAAACCCAGTTTGGCTTTAAGTCTGATCCCATGAGCTAAAACTTTATTTATAGATTGTTTTATGTATTGTACATTTATTTATATTTATAGTTTAATCCTGGGTATACTTTAATCCAGAGTATAGTTTAATCCAGGGCATAGTTTAATCCTGGGTATACTTTAATCCAGAGTATAGTTTAATCCTGGGTATACTTAAATCCAGAGTATAATTTAATCCTGGGAATACTTTAATTCAGAGTATAGCTTAATCCAGGGTATTGATTAAACAGAGGGTATACTTTAATCCTGGGTATTGTTTAATCCTGGGTATTGTTTAATTCTGGGAATAGTTTAATCCAGGGTATAGTTTAATCCAGGGTATAGTTTAATCCAGGGTA